GATGATCTTTTAAAAAAGATATTCCCAAAAGGCTAAACATACCAAACACAATCTACCCAGATGATTCTGATGAACGAAGCTGTTCGTGCCTCGGCTCAAACAGATGAAGACAGGCCCTCAGGAGAAGATTCAGAGAACACAGAAAGTCCATTCTGAGAAGGGTGATGAAATCTCAAGCCATCTGGGCAGATCACCTGGGGTCGGGAGTTCGAGACCAACCTGAACACATGGAGAAACCCTGTCTCTACTAAAAATACAAAATTAGCTGGGCGTGGTGGTGGGTGCCTGTAATCCTGGCTGCTCAGCAGGCTGAGGTGGGAGAATCACTTGAGTCTGGGAGGTGGAGGTTGCAGTGAGCCAAGGTTACACCATTGCACTCCAGCCTGGGCAACAAGAGTGAATCTCCATCTCAAAAAATAAAAGAAAGAAATCTCAAGCCATCCTGTTCCATCTTGTCCATCTGTGAATCATCCCTTTGCCCAGTATATTTATGCTGTATAGCAAGCTTGTCCAACCTGGGGCCTGTAAACCACATGCGGTCTAGAATGCCTTTGAATGTGGCCCAACGCAAATTTGTAAACTTTCTTAAAATGGTATGAGTTTTTTTGGAATTTTTTTAAGCTCATCAGCTATCGTTAAGTGTATTTTGTGTGTGGCCAAGACAATTCTTCTTCTTCCACTGTGGCCCAGAGAAGGCAAAAGATTGGACATCCCTAATCTCCAGGCTATCTGCCTGTTGACACCATCAGCTCCTGCATCCAACCATGGCCATGGTAAGGACTCCATGATCCAGTGTCACTGATACGGTTTGCATCTGTGTCCCCACTCAAATCTCGTGTTGAACTGTAATCCCCAAACGCTGGAGGTGGGATTTGGTGGGAGGTGATTGGAGCATGAGGGCAGTTTCACATGGTTTAGCACCATCCCCCCTTGGTGCTGTCATCACAATAGTGAGTTCTCGTGATATCTGGTTGTTTAAAAGTGTGTGGCACCTCCCCCTTTTCCCAAAGGCACTCTCCCTTTGCCTCCCACCATGATTGAAAGCTCCCTGAGGCCTTCCCAGAAGCAGAAGACGCAACACTTCCTGTACGCCTGCAGAACGGTGAGACAATTAAACCTCATTTCTTTCTTTTTTTTTTTTTGAGACTGAATTTCGCTCTTGTTGCCCAGGCTGGAGTGCAGTGGTGCAATCTTGGCTCACTGCAACCTCTGCCTCCTGGGTTCAAGCAATTACCCTGCCTCAGCCTCTGGAGTAGCTGGGATTACAGGTGCGCGACCATGCCCAGCTAGTGTTTTACATTTTAGTGGAGACGGGGTTTCACCATGTTGACTAGGATGGTCTCGAACTCCTGACCTCGTGATCCACCCGCCTTAGCATCCCAAAGTGCTGGGATTACAGGCATGAGCCACCGCGACTGGTCTAAGCCTCATTTCTTTATAAATTATCCAGTGTTGAGTATTTATAACAATGCAAGAACAAACTGATAAAATCACTCAAAGCAGATGACTCGCCTTCTGACGTAATCATCAGATAAATAGTAGTCTAACGCTCCATCATCACAATGCCTACGTCATTCACCTCAGTTCATTAAATCCCACAGGCATTTTGTCATCTCTTATCACCACAAGAAGAAGGGTGAGTATAGTATAGTACAATGAGATATTTTGAGAGAGGGAGAAGGACTACATTCACATAACTTTTATGACAGTATATCGTTATAATTGTTTTTTTTTAGACTCAGTCTCTCGCTCTTGTTTCCCAGGCTGAAGTGTAATGGCACGATCTCGGCTCACTGCAACGTCCGCCATCCAGGTTCAAGTGATTCTCCTGCTTCAGCCTCCTGAGTAGCTTGGATTATAGGCACCTGCCACCACGCCAGGCTAATTTTGCATTTTTAGTAGAGACGGGCTTTCACCATGTTGGCCAGGCTGGTGTCGGACTCCTGACCTCAGGTGATCTGCCCGCCTTGGCCTCCCAAAGTGCTGAGATTATAGGTGTAAGCCACTGCGCCCAGCCAATTATTCTATTTTATTATTGTTATCATTGATCTCTTACTGTGCCTAATTTATAAATTAGACTTATCCTAAGTACATATGTATCGGCAAAAAAAACACATGGTACAGAGGGTTCAATACGAATCTGTGGTTTCAGGAATCCACTGGGGGGTCTTTAAACATATCCCTCATGGATAAGGGGCACTACTGTACTATATAAACTTTATAGACTATGAATTTTGAGTCTCTGGGTCACCTCCTCTGTTGAGATTCTAGCAAAGCCCCTGATATAAAAGAGTTCATTAAAAAGTTGTATTCTATATAAGCAAAGGTAAATGAGTATAGAATCATTATAAACACAGGTTTCTCCTTTTTCCCCCGAGTCTACTGTGTTATCAGCCCTTGAGTTCAGCCTTGGCTGTTGCAATTGGAGTGTAATCCATGGAGACAAACTCGGTGCAGAGGAGGTGGTTCAGGATGCAAGGACAAGGACACAAAGAAAAGACAAGAATACTCTTAGCGAGGACAAGGAAGGAGACATCAACTCAAAAGAAACATACAGGGCAGGCTGGGCGCGGTGGCTCACGCCTGTAATCCCAGCACTTTGGGAGGCAGAGGCGGGCAGATCATGAAGTCAGGAGATCAAGATCATCTCAGCCAACATGGTGAAACCCCGTCTCCACTAAAATACAAAATAAATGGGCCCGGCGTGGTGGCAGGCACCTGTAGTCCCAGCTACTCAGGAGGCTGAGGTAGAGGAATCGCTTGAACCTGGGAGGTGGAGATTGCAGTGAGCTGAGATCACGCCACTGCACTTCAGCCTGGTGACAGAGCAAGACTCCAACCAAAAAAAAAAAAAAAAAAAGAAAGAAAGAAAAGAAAGAAAGAAAGAGGTCAAAGGAGACAACGGGAGAAATGTTGAGGCAGAAGGGAGAAAAGTTGAAGGAGTAGAAGTTAACACGGTTATGTCTCCTTGTCTAGCGCATCGTGAGATCATCAGCTAAGGAAAAAGGCATGTTTGGGCTGGAATCTCAAGGGGAACCATAAAGATTTAGAAAAGCCCAGTCACTGTCCTCTTCCTTCCTATTCCGCTACCTTCTGACCTAATCCTGTAAAAGAAAATGTTGTCAACCCACATGTAGTCAATGATCTTCAAGTGTCTGGCCTGAGAAAATAGCCATTAACCAAACAAACATAATCCCCACTTTCGTGGAATGTATAGGTCTAGTTGGAAAATACGGACAATAAGTATCAAAGCGTTGTGAGGAAGAAGCATTCACAGGGGTTGGCCGTTCTGGGGGAGACATCACATAGCAGACAGACAGGGCTAGTTAAGGGAAGCGTGCAGGCTTCCAGCTGAGGCTCGTTACTTCCCTCCAGACTAGGTAATTATTTTTTAGTGGATTTCCCTGCCTCCTATCTCTTTCCAGTCTTATATGCCAGCACCAAATTAACCACTGTTATCATGGTTATGCTCGAAAATCAACAGTCAATATTCCCCCAAGGCCTACCACTTAGGCTCCAAGCTTTTTAAGTTAAGATCGAAGGCCTCTACCAGCCAGAGCGTAACCTTCCTTCTATACTTGGCTTCCACAAACCTCCATTCCAGCCAGACTCGCAGACCGTCCTTCATACATGCCATCCTGTATTACCTCTCCACTTCTGTCTCTGCCCATCATCTTGAGTGCTTTTCCTCCACTAGCCACTCTTAATGTCTCATGTCTGCATGAAGACTCAACTCATGTCCATCAGAAAGTGTTCTCTGATCCTCAGCACTAGAAGCAAGCTCCCTCTCCATGGAAATTTGTTCATACTTCTAGAATATTTTTTTTTTTACAACATTCCTTGAACTGCGGTTATTTTTATACTCTTCACATCTTCCTATCATATTATCAACCTAAAGACAGGATTTGTGTCTCATCCACTCTTAGACTCCATAATACTTTATACTCCAATAAAAAATAGATTCAGCTAAGGAAATGCTCTGCTAATGTTTGCTGAAGTTAGTGCTAAAAATATGTCATATCGAATGGATGCTTGGAACTTTCCTGTGATCCTGCACACATGGATTCTTATGGATATATATTTTTTCTGCATTTCTGGAAGATAAATGTTTTAAATACATACGCGCTTCATCCATCCATTCATTATTTAATATAAACCTATTCAATGCCTACCATGTGCAAGGTATGCACAAGACAGGGATGGTGCTGGCTCTGGCTTTACGCAGTGTACACATTCATCGATCAATATTTATGTCATTTTGTTTCCCTTCTTCCTAGACAAAGGGAAGCGAAGACTCACTGTACCTCACTACTGTCAGCAGAGAGCAATGTGCAATCGGAATGATCTTTAAGTTGTGACCTATGGGGTCAGAATAAACCTTGTAATGTACAGAACCAAATTATGTGCATCGACAGAGAATATTGGCCTTTTAGAAATTCATCTCATATTTATTGTTTGGAGATTTTACTTTTGGAAGACATCAATTCCATTTCCCCACTTTTTCTCTCTTGTCTGCAATTATTTTCCTGGCATTCATTCAATAAAGAGCTTCAAGTCACTTTTTTTAGATTGAAATAAACTTTGATGAAAATTGAAAATCAGTGCTTTCTTCCTAATGACGTTAATAGAGAAAAGCCTCCAATTTTGTAATTATAATCAATATATAGAGGGGAAGTGGCCACAAATATACTGCACATCTCAAGCCGGCTGGGTTCGGTTACTTTAATTTTTAAACAATCAGGACTTTTAAAAGTTGCTGTTTATACAATACTTTTTAAAAATGTTACACACTATGAGTGCACCCAGCCTTGATGCCTCGCTAAAGCGTTAGCTGTCTACTAGCTCCTTCTCCTGCCAGAGCCTTTATCCTCACTTTGGGTCTGGGGGTACACATGCCGGTCTCTTGCTTCCTAAGGACCCCATTATCCATTTCTCTGCACCAGTGTTTGGGGATCCAACCTATCTGTGCCTCCGTTAGCCAGGAGCCTCCGGATCTTTCCAGATTTCTTTGCAATACTGCCTGATGCACTGAATCCATTTCTCTCCTAGCCTGGCGCTTGGCAGGCAGGCTGGCGCTCCCTGGCTCTGCCTTCCCCATCTCCCTGTGTTTTCTCCCACGGCCCATCTGCCCCTCCTTTCCTCCACCCCCTTCTCCTCTCTGCTCCCCTTTATTTCCACTCCCCACCCGCGTGGCTTTGCTCTCCCTCTCCCCGCTCAGCTCGTCTGTATTTGGAGCTCCGGAAGCTGCCGGCGACTCTCCCCGGGAGCAGCGTGACTGACACCGGCTCCGATTCAGGGGGAGGAGGGAGAGGGAGGAGAAGGGGAGGGCCGCGGGAGGAGGGCGCAGTGGCGGGCCACGGATTTGCGTCGCCGAGGACGGGACCCCGGGGCAGCGAAGCAGGTAATCCTGCAGCGGTCGCGGCCGGGCCAGGCCGGGGCGGGCGGGGGGTCAGGGTGCAGGTGCGGGGAGGAGGTCAGGGTGCAGGGGCGGGGGGCGCTCGGCGGCCGGCGCGGGGAAGTTGCGTGCGATGGGTGGGGTGGGAAAGCGGCCGGACGCGGCGGTGCGCGGGGAATAAAGGCGGCGCGGGCGCAGGGTCCGGGGCGCGGGGACCGGGGCGCGGGGCGCGGGCCGCGGGGTGCGGGCGCGGGCTGACTTCCATCTGGGTCAGCGGAGCGGCGCGCCCTGCCCCCGCCTCCCCAGCCCCGGAGTCCCGGCCGCTCGGAAGGCGGGGTGCGGGCAGGAGCGGCCCGGGGCTGGCTGGCGGCCGCGGCCTCCCAACCCCAGCGCCGCCACCCGCCCGGCCGCTCTAACTTTGGGGGTCTCGCCCCCTGGCCCCCGGCTGTGAGTCTTCCAGGGGCGCGGGGGTGGGGGTGGGAGTCATTGCGCCGGGTCTGACCTGAGCCACCTCGATCAGAAAGTGCTGGAAAGAAACAGACCTGGCTTCCCCGCTGCAGAACCTGACTTGAGGCGATGAGTCACTTCTGAAAAATGCAGAGGCAACTGAGGCTTGGGGGAACCGCTCGGAAAAAACGGCACCGCCGCGGGCTCTCTGGCTGCTTTGGGTAGAGGGGTGTTCGTGGAAGTAGCCGCCCTAGCATCACTTTTAGGGCCGAAAATCAACCTGCAGATGGCCTTTTCTTTATTCTCATCAGGGTGGTGTTCGCTCCGAGTTGTAGTGATACTTGAATGCATGCATGCTTAAGAGTGAGTATGTATGGGTGACTGCATTTAGGAGATTGGACTAGGACTAGCTGCAGACAGCCACAGTGGAGATGAACACTTTCTAAGAGATCTAGGACCTTTGGTTTTATAGTCATGGGCATGCAGAAGCGTCTGGGACTCGAGCACTGTAGTTTACGGAATACTCCTCTATTTCTTTACTGCTTCTGTAGATTTCATTTAAGGAATGTTCCTTAGAATGCTTGATAAACTAGCTAAGCCTACTTAGTGTAAAATTACAACGGTAGAGTGAACTTTAGAGAAGTGGATATATAGTTACTGGAGTCTAATTAGACTGCAAGCCTCTTGAGAGCAAGGATGGATTGTTTGATAGTTCCTGCGGCACCAAACGGTATTTGGCTCATAGCCTGTAATGGATACACAATAAAAGTTTGTAAAATAGTTAATTCAGTACCTTAAGTGTAGCTGGAGCTTGACTTCTTGAATATACTGCAGATTTTGCAAGGAGAGGCGGCTTCTCCATGAATCCTGAAATTTAAAAAATTCTTAATATTACAATCAAAGTGTCATATAAATATTGCTTAAGGATAAAGAGAAAAAGAAGTTGACTATGAGAAATCAGGAAGGTGATTATCAAGGTGGTTTTTGCTAGTAGGAAGTAGGTTTTTGTTCCCCATAGTTAACGTGAGAAGTAATTTAATTTGCTGATAAACTGTAGGATTTGGTAAACTTTTGAGTTAAGAGCTGGATAGTAAACATGTAGGTTTTGCAGGCACCTACTCGATTCCACGGTTATAGTTTGGAAGCAGCTAAAGACAGTCTAAAGGAATGGTATGGCTGTGTTTCACTTTATTTACAGACATTGAACCTTGAAGGTCATATACTTTTCACTAGTAACAAAATATTTTTCTTATTTTTTCCAGTCATTAAAAACTGTAAAAACCATTCTTAGCTTGAGGAGGAGCAGAAAACACAAAAGTAAGAGAGAGGGGAATGGATTTGTCCTGCTGGTAGTAGTTTGCTACTCCCATGGACTCACTCTGTATAGAATTTGTCAAGGAACGTTTTGAAAGAATAAATGGGCCACATTCTATTGAGTGCCTGTTATACCCTGGTACTTAAGTTAAATACTCTCAAGAAAAGCATTAATTTATTTTGAGCATTATGGAATTTTCTTTTGTTTTGAATATTTCCTAACGTCTTTATGCGTGAGGTTTTGTTTTCATTAATTATGTAACATTTTATATGTAACAATAATATGCTAAGTCTAGGTAAGTTATGAACATTATATTCAACTGAACTACTGTGAATTCATCAGTAGGTTTAGAAACCAGGGCTTAAGAACTAGATAGTTGTGAAAAGATAGCCCATATAATGGGAGAAAATATTTGGGAATCATATATCTGATAAGGGACTTGTACCCACAACATATAAAGAGTTCTTACAAATCAATAATAAAAAGAAAACGAATCTAATTTTAAAATGGGCAAAGGATCTTAATAGCTATCTCCAAAGAAGATAAACAAATGGCAAATAAGCCCATGAAAAGATACTCAACATTATTACTCATCAGGCAAATACAAATCAAAACCATGATGGGATACCACTTCATACTCACTAGCATGGCTATAATTAAAAAGTCAGATAATAACAAGTGCTGGTGAGGATGTGGGGGAATTGGAACCTTCATACACTGCTAGTGGGAATATAAGATGGTGCCCTCACTTGGAAAAGTTTGACAGTTCTTCGAATTAAACATAGAGTTACCATATGACCTAGAAATTCCATTGTAAATATATGGCCAAGAGAAATTAAAACATATGCCTACAAAAAAAAACTGTACACAGATGTTTATAGCAACACCATTCCTAATAGCCAAGAGGTGGAAACAACCAAACGACCATAGTTGATGAGTGTATAAATAAAAGGTGGTATATCCATACAGTGAGATATTGTTTGGCCATAAAAAGGAATGGAGTATTGGTACATGCTACAACATGGATGAATCGTGAAAACGTTATGCTAAGTGAAAGAAGCCATTCAGAATATCACATATTGTATGATCTATTCTTATGAAAATGTCCAGACCAAGGACATGTATAGAGCTGGAAAGTAGATTTTTTTGTTGCTTAGGGCTGAAGGGGCTGGAGGTGGGTTGGGTAGGGAAGTGATAAAGGTCACAGGGTTTCTGAACTGAAACATGAAAATATTCTCTAATGGACTGTGGTGATGGTTGTGCATATCTGTGAATACACTAAAAACCATTGAGTTGTACACTGTAAGTGGGTGAATTATGTGGTATGTGAATTACATCTCAAAAAAATTGTTAAAGAAAATAAACAGAAGACTGGGGAAAAAGTACTAGATCGTTAGCTCTCTGGTTGCATGTTTGTGTTTTTCCTCTGTGCCTGCTCTCGTGTCCCTCCCAACCCTGGATTTTGTGTTCATCATTTTCCGTTTTATTGTAAACCAGTTGTATCACATATGTACGTATTCCTAAACAATAGTGTTTGGGTTTGTCTTTTGATGTGTAAGAAAGGTATGTATAATCTCACATTCTTTTTTTCTGTTTTTTGAGATGGAGTTGCTCCCTGTCACCCAGGCTGGAGTGCAGTGACACAATCTCAGCTCACTGCAATGTCCGCCTCCCGGGTTCAAGTGATTCTCCTGCCTCAGCCTCCCAAGTAGCTGGGAATACAGGTGCCTGCCACCATGTCCAGCTAAGTTTTGTATTTTTAGTAGAGAAAGGGTTTCACCATGTTGGCCAGGCTGATCTCAAACTCCCGACCTAGGCGATCTGCCCACCTCAACCTCCCTAAGTGCTGGGATTACAGGCGTGAGCCACCATGCCCTGCCTAATCTCGAATTCTTAAAATTCAACATTAGGTTATTAAGAATCACCCACATCGTTGCATGTACGTATGTAATTTTTTTTTTTTTTGGCAAATACTCCATGATTTATTTTACCATTCTCTTGTTGACGGGCATTTGGGTTGGTTCCCATGTTTTGCTATTACAAAGAATGCTGCTTGAAGGCTTTTTTCCATGTATCTTGGCACACATGTGCAAGAGTTCTTCAGTGTGAATGTGCCATGTATTTTAATGGCCAAAAAAAAAAAAACCACCCTGATTCTCCTTTGACTTAACACATTGATGGCATATAACCACTAACTCATTTCTTCAGATCCAGGTAAAATGACTAGATCTGACATTCCGACTTCTCATCCTATTTACATTCTAGTTGTAAATGTATTTCCCCATATTTTAAGAAGTGTGGAAAATCTTAAACTTCACAACTGAATTTCACAGCAGGACCTTTTAACCCAGTCACTTATCTTCATCTTCTTATGTCACCTGGATTTAGGATTGGAGGGCGGACAACTTTAATTATTATTACACCAAAGGAACAGTATGAAGGCACATGAATGGTTACTGAACCTCACTAAAATTTGCCTTGTATTGTGTATCCTAATAGGCGGTCTAGTATTTCTGATATGATTTAGTTAGGTAATTCTGATAACAATGAGCCTTCGCCAGTTTCTAGATCTGTCGCTGACTTTGGCTGTGAGCATTTGCCATTCATTCAGACATTTCTCCTTGAACTTGGAAGAGGGAAAGCACCTAGAGTCAGAACAAACCATTATAAGGAATTTTTAAATTATTTTTACTGTTTTAAGATACACATAAAATTTGCTATTTTAAACTTTTTTTTTTTTTTGAGACGGAGTTTTGCTCTTGCTTCCCAGGTTGGAGTGCAATGGCGCGACCTTGGCTCACCGTAACCTCTGTCTCCCAAGTTCAACTGATTCTCCTGCCTCAGCCTCCCAAGTAGCTGGGATTACAGGCATGCACCACCACGCCTGGCTCATTTTGTATTTTTAATAGAGACGGGGTTTCTCCACGTTGGTCAAGTTGGTCTCGAACTCCTGGCCTCAGGTGATCTGCCTGCCTTGGCCTCCCGAAGTGCCTGAATTACAGGCATGAGCCACTGCCTCTGGCCTATTTTAAACATTTTTAAGCATACTATTCAGTGGCATTCAGCTCATTCTCGCTGTTGTGCAACCATTACTATTGCCCATCTCCAGAACTTTTTTATAACGTAAAACCGAAACTTTGTACTCACTAAACAGAACTCTAGATTTTCCTCCTGCAGAGTGCATGGTAACCACCATTTTACTTTGTGTCTCTGAATTTGCCTGTTCTAAGACCTTACACAACAG